AGGTTCCAGAAAGAACATATCTTAGTCCCCACCTCCAGCTTTGGCCTGGCTGCAGTGACCAGGCTGCAGGGCTGAGAAGGGCAGGCAGTGCTGGGACCTGGGGGAACTCAGAACCACCCCCACTAGTGCTCCCCATGCTCCGGCCCCTAACCTTCTGTGTCCCATGACAATCATGCGTAGCTTGTCGCCAAGGTCCTGCATCTCGTGGATCTGGACAAACGTCCCTGTGTGGTAGACCTCATCCAAGCTCTCAACCACGTCGGACTCATTACTGAGGGAGAGAAAGACACAAAGGAACATTGGCACAGGGGCTCTGATACCCATGGAGTCTCTCAGGTTAGGAGGGAGGAGGGAAATGAAAAACTCAACCGGCCTGGACTGAAAACCAAGTGTGAACTTCTCGCTCCCACAGGGGCTCTGGAGCCTAGTAAAGTACCTGCCAGCTAAGGAACATCAGTTGTAACTGCACAAGTGAGCAGCTCCTGGCCAAGCTGGCCGTGAGGTGTGCCACATGGAATTTTTATTCCATTACACAATCCCATGACAGAGCCTGCTCAGGACACCCTAGACTTCTAACTCAGAAGTGGAACTAATTTCTACCAGGAGTCAAAGTGGAGGTATCCAAAGTTGTGATATCTGCCCACTTAGCTCAGTGCTGAAACGGCCTTGCAGGTATGTGTGTTTTAACATCAAGGTTCCTTGAGGTTAATATCCCCCATACATCTTGTCAACGCATGAAGCCCAGCGTTGCAAGTTGAGCCTTCAGTTCAGACTATAAAGGGATGCTTGGCTCTTGGCTGAGTCCCCTGTAGGCTTTGCTTGGTTTCTTTCAGGTCAAGGGCCAGAGGTCCAGGCTATTCTAGGGGGCAAGACTGGTGGTGAGCTACACTCCAGGGTGACTTTAGCAAAGGAGTGAAGGAAAAATTACACTTACGTGTCATCTCTCTTTAGAAAGACGCCGGCATATGGCTGGGCAAGACGGACTTTCCTTCTTAGCAGCTCAACCAACTTCTTATTTTTAACCTAGCATGACAATGACCCCAAAGTGAAATGCAGGGTAGGTTTTCTAGCTGACATTTTGACAGCAGCTCTAACGTTTTCTGTATTATATTCTCTGGGGACATGCTAATCTGATCCAGGACAGTAACCATCCTGGTCTGGGAACCCCTGAATCAAAACCAAACAAAAGGCAGATATATGAAGAAGAGGGTACAGGGTTGACCAGCTGCATTCCTCAGTGGTTCTCCCCCTTCCTAAAGAAAACTCAAAGGAGACAAATGGCCAGAACCAAGAAACTGATTTAAGGTTCAATTTCAAGAGCTGTTTCAGTGCCAAAATATATGGCCTTGAAAATCTAAACTGTTCTGATTTCATCACCGTGAGAAGAACTACACTAAACGTGCGTAATTCAAATGGGGCCTACCCCACAGGCTGGTAACTTCCTCTAATTTTCACTAAAAGTATTTCCCAATCACATCTTTACCCTATTTATTGATCATCAAAACCCCCAAGATCACAGCACATTTTCTTGATGTCATTTCAGTGGCAGGCAGAGCGCTAATGATGTCTCCTAGGAAACAGTTGATGGGGGGTGGTGCACAGATGTCTTTTCAGGCTCAAATGATTTCTTTCAAGCCTGTGTTAATTCCCAGACCATACTCTGACTAAACTTAATGGCTCTCAAACTTTAGCATGCATCAGAATTACCTGGGAGGACTTGCTGAAACAGATGGCCAGGCTCCACGCCTGTAGTTTCTGATGCAGGAAATCTAAAGAGGGCCTGAGAATTTGCAGTCCAAACAAGCTCCCAGGTGATGCTGCTGGTCCAAGCACCGAAATCTGAGAACCAGTGCCTTAACTCACCCCCTAACAGTGGCTCTTAACTTAGAGCCCAGGAATTCCTGATACTATAGATGCATTTTTCCTAGGGGAAAGGTCCGTGACAGCCATTAGGAGGGTACATCACCCAATAAAAATTAAGAGCCAGTAGTCTATACTCAGAGGCCACTGATAAGAAGAGAACCTATTGGGGCAGTTAGCCCCATGCAGTCAACTACAAACTTAGAAGTAAACAGAGCTTGGTTAACAAGTTCAGAAACATTTATTGGGTCTACAGAAATTTTCCTCATTTCTCCTCTGCTAACAGCTAACTGCTATCTCAGCACCTCCCCTTCTTTGGCAGGATCCCTTTTCGTTACAAGGTAACAGCAATAGAGCCCGGCTGGGAGTGGCGGCGATCAGGGTTCAATTCTCTAGGATCCACGAGATCAGGGTTCGATTCCCGGTCAGGGAACATGCCCGGGTTGCGGGCTCGATCCCCAGTCAGGGGCATGCAGGAGGCAGCCGATCAATGACTCTCTCATCACTGATGTTTCTCTCTGTCTCTCTCCCTTCCTCTTTCTGAAATCAATAAAGATATATTTTAAAAAAAAACAAACAACAAGGTAACAGCAATAGAAAGGAGTACCACACTCCAGTCTCATGCTATCCACCGTGACTCATTTAACCCTCCTGGCTAGCTCAGGTGGGAAGACAGAATCTCTTAGAAGAATCATTATCTCTGCACTGGGGACAAGGGGCATCTGCCACTTTGCTGGGCTGAAGGGACCAAACCTGGTGAACAGTCCCCGTGGGGTAGAGAGGACTGCTGAAGGTGGGTCAAAGATGGGAAAGAGATCTCCAAGGCAGGCTTCTGAAATGTATGAAGAGCCCCACATAAGAAACAACAGGTGCAACTGCTTACTGCTGAGGCATACTAAGCACCAGGCACCATTCTAAATCCTTTACATGTCACCTCATATATCTCCCACAATAGCTCTAAGACAGGAAGTACTACTAGTATGTCCATTTTAAAGATGAGAAAATGGAAGCCCAGAGGAACAGCTTGCCCAAGGTTATAGAACTAGGGATGGTGGAGCCAGCCACAGGGTCTTACCTTGGGGCCTCCAAGTAACCACTACTCAACATCAAGAAAGGCCCTTCACAGGGTAGCTCAGACAAATATGATCAGCAGTGCAAAACAGGAGGTAAAGGGGATCTCTTGTCCCTTCCCCACTGGCTGGCTGCTGCCCCTCTGCATTGTTCCTTTCCAAGGCATCCCTGAGGTTTCTTTAGCAGAAACTGGAAATGAGGAGGCGAGGCTAGAGGCAGAATGCAGCGGTTGACTCATTGTATGACCTTGCTTAGACAGTTAAAAGATAACCTTTCTCCTCCATGGACTTGTTTCCACATCATTAAAAAAGGGGGGGGAGGGAGGCATTTGGGTCCTTCCTACTCTAAAAACTCAAGTTCCTTGCACTCATGATGTTTTCTCTCTATTACATCACCCTAGTTCCCCACCCAACCCTCTCTTTAGGGCTCTTAGTCTGCAATGATCTTGTTTCCTGCCTCTTTCCATTAGAACATAAATTCCTTAGGCACAGGGACTATGTTTGACTTGTTTGCTACTGTATCCTCAGTGCTCGCTACATGGTAGATTAAGAACATTCTGCTGAATGAAAAAAACCATAGCTGCACCCCTCTGAGAGCATTCCTCCCCCACCTTCCTTCTGTCTCTGGTACCATCCACCCCTTGCTCTATTATTTCCTGTAGTACTTATTGCCTTCCAGCACATACTTTACTTACTAATCTTGTTTATTACTTCCTGCATCCCGCTAAAATGTGAGCTCCAAAGGCAGGAATTCTTGTCTGTCTTGTTTACGGCAGTATCCCTAACAGCTAGAACCGAACTCGGCACATGGAAAGTGGTCAAGAAATATTTAAGGAAGGAATGAATCCGGATCCCAAAGGGGCTCATAACCAGAAGGGAGACCACCCTGGGGAGACAGGGTTACAAAACATTTACCAACACCTGCAGAAAAGAAACTGGGCCGCAAGGCTGTTCTTCTCTGAGCCGGATTTCTATGACAGTCCTCAACTCACTGAGTTCAACTCCCCTTAAGAGATCCTAGAGGAGAAGGAATTTGGCTCCAGTTCACCAAACCAGTGATGTGCAGACAAGAATTCCAACTCCTGCCTTTGAAAAATTTCGTATCTGAAAAACTTTCGAGGAATGAGGGTGCTAAAGGATCTCTCGGTCCAACCCGCTGCTTGCAGAGATGGGGAAACGGAGGCCAACGCGGGAGACCTCATTACCTCGATAATCTTGATAAAGCGCGGGAACACCGGGTTGCGGGTGACAGCGATGAGTGGCAGGTGCGGAAACACGTCCGGGATGGTCATAGGTGTCAGCGCCGTTATGACGGGACCTTCCCCGCCGCCTGCGCTGCCCCCGGCGCCGGGGGCACCATCCTCCACGCCGCCCTCAGGGGCATCCTCGCCGCCGCCCCCGCCGCTGCCTCCGCGGCTGTTTGCCTCCCAAAGCCCCCGCCATTGCCCCGCAGCCGCGGGGCCACGGCCCCACAGCGCCCAAGGAGGAGAAGTGTCGCAGGTCCGCCGACCTCTGGGCAACCACGCTCCGGTCGCAGTTTGGACCCGCCCCCCGATGACAGCCAGCAGCGGCCGCCGCAGCGCCCAACACCGCGCAGCGCCCCACAGCCGCACGTAGCCTGTGACCGCCGCCATGGCCCGGCCATCCTGGGGGCGCACAGGGCTCGCGTCATTTCCGCTCGCCGGGCCGGAGCGCACGTGACGTCGGCAGCCTGCTCCGGTGCCTGCAGGGGCGTGATCTGGCAGGAGACTTGCGGGGGGAGGGGCTCGGAAGGAAGTGGAGGCGGGGCCTACAAGGAGCAGAGGGAATGGGATTAGAGCTTCCTCGTTGCAGCCACTTCTTCCAGCCAATCAGCGCGTTCAAGGTCCCTTTGGGTCCCGTGGAGGTCTGTGCACGCTCGCCATAAACCCCAGAAAAATGACCGGCTGTTTTTGAATGTGAAGCTTTGGCAATGCATGCACAGCCCCGCGCGTACAGAGGCATTTAGGGCGTGCGAGAAGTATGCGCACGCTCAGGTCCTGGGGCGCGTCCTCGTTGGTGAATTCGAACTTCCCCGGGAGACGCTGTGCGCATGGTCAGGTTGTAAACTGCGCACCGGCTGCCACGTGCTCAGGCCCAGCTTCTAGGGGCCCGTTCGGGAGACGATGCGCACACGGTCAGACTCCGCGAGGGCGGGCGCGCGTGTCTGTACGCACGTGCCCAGGCGCTGGAAGGGGGCGTGCTGAAGTGGGTGGATTCGGGCTTCCGGGGAGACGAGGTGCGCGTGCTCAGGCGGCGCGGTTGCCGCCTGACCGGAGGCTCAGGCCCTAGTCTGCGCATGCCCAGACTGTGAA